TAAAATTATATAAATTGAATATAAACCAAAATATGGCAGTCATGGCTAAAAAGGAAGGTATGTTCCTATAGAAAGTGTCAAGAGGTGAACATTCACTTTCGTATGAAACTCCTCTAAAATAGGGAAGATATTGAGATTAACTTAATTGTGTACGAAAGTAAATTTGAAAGTTTATTTAGAATTCCGTACGTTACCCAAACTGAAGTAGAGCTGCAACAATTCATGGTCATTTCTTTGTTAAAGCGTAAAAATATAAAAAATTACTGTCTTTCTTATTTGACACTTATAATAAATTATTTATCCTGAAATTGTCCTACTTTTTTTGTTTTTTATGTGAAAGACTGTAATCCATAGTACAATCACTGGATTTCGACATACTAATTTTGACAGTCTAATAAGCTGACTTGATACCTTATTTTAGATGGTAGTTGTTTGGTATTGTTACATCCAGACTTATCATCATCGCGTTCATTTGTGAATTTCATCACTGAACAGTTTCACAGTTACTTTACATATTAAATTTTATTTTTCGAACTACAATGAAGTTGATCATTGTACAAAACAGTTTATTGAAAATAAAGATGATAGGAAGACAAATTGTATTGTTGAAATGCTGTGACAGCAAAATTATGTGCGAAACCAGAAATATTACATACGCTTTTATCTTCTCCATATTTAAAAGTAGGCATAGAATGTAAACGCTTATCTTTAAAAAAATGTGATTGATGAATTTTATTACTTTTTGGAAATGTTTGTGACATATCCCAGTTGATAGTGAGGCTCGTTTGTCAATGTAAACTGAAATACTTTTATCAAAGTAATTCCAGTGCCAAAGAGGAAAAAACGCGCCTCATGAGATCAACTGCTAGTCACTATCCAATAGTAATTGTAATAACTTGAACAATATGTCAGAAAATCTTGTGTATAACAACAAAGGTTACTTACCATCTTACAATATCGTCACGATGCTTGGAAGCGATGAAAAGATTTAAAACTAGTGCGAAACTGTAATATTACATTAATCAATAGCATAATTCAACTAATTTAATCACTTTTTTTGTTTTTACTGAAATAATGAATGTGCAAGGAGATCTAATAAAATAATACAGAAAATATTAGAATTAAGAGAAGTAAAGATTTAGGTAAATATAATAGTTGTGCACATTTTATGTGAGTACAGAAGCTAAACTTCATCTCATGGATATTCATGTATACTACTGTTTTAAGTCGTAAATGGAAAATATTTGAAAGTTGTATGCAATGTTTCTTTTAATACAACCCTAAAGTCATTCGACTCGTTTCTTGAATCATTTAGATCTGTCATAAGTTCAAAGAAAACTGTGATCCCCATCAAAAAAATAAGAAAACTGATTTAAAAATTAACTCAAAATCATGATGAAAGGGAAGAATTATTATTCTTTTGATCAAATAAATATTGTGATGTTATTTTTCCATACTTTCATTCATATCCTTATTGGGAAAGCAATGAAAATTTTCACACAATTAATGTTCAAGGTTTTGCTGCGCTATGTTGAACATATATTCAATTAAGTCTAAGGAAAACTAATTTACTAGAGACAATTGCAGGGATTAATAAATGATTCCATAAAAGTTTTTAAATACTTTTCATATAAATGCAGCTAAAAGAACTAAGATTATGTGGAATTTATTTCATTTATGTTTAATTGAATGATACATATATGTTATGAAGTAATTTATCAGCTTGACAACTGTTTGTTCTACAAAAGGAATACGGTATGACTTGATGAGTAATCTTTAACAGGATGATTACTTTTTTTCTTTAAAAAAAGGGAAAAACCTTATTCTCCTTTTTAAGAAAAAACCCTTCACTTTAAATTATTACTGTGATTCATTAATTTTACATTTTTAAAATAAGTAACAAATCAGTAATGAATGTACTCTTAGTTCAATGTATCTATTTTTTCTGTTCGTTTTTTGTTTTGTTGCTTTTATCCGTTGTTGTAAATTAGTAATTTTGTCATCTGTCAATGAGACTACCCACAATGAAATGAAAATAACTTAGTTTATTTATTCTGTAAATATTTCACATATGAAATTATGTGCATACATACATACATATACTAAGATATATGATTTTCATTGACATCTATTTAAATAGATATTGGTACTTCTATTACATTTAAGAAAATTTTTTTTTGGATTTATTCAGCTTTGTAACAGTTTATATTAAACAAAAAAATCTAAAAGAACTCACATGTTCAATATAAATTATAAAACAGTTTATATTTACATTAAAATGTGATTTGTGCTGACCAACCGATATAGGTGGTATTTTAACACCTACAGTTTTCAGAAAGTGTTTATGAAAAGGGAAACTATTCAAATACAACATATATGTTCTTTTTATTTGTTTTGTGTAAGAAAATTTGTAATGAAAGACAATAATGAACAAATCTTTTGACATTCTTCTAGTGAAAAAGAGAAAATATACGTAAATTTGAGTTACATTATTAAACATTTCTTTAAGTTTCTGTTCCGTAAGTGACTTTTAAACAATATACAGAATGGTGAGCAAAGATGGATAGTGGCTAGCAGTGGAATCCAGAACGCGCGTTTCGTCCTATTTGAAACTCGTCATCTGGATGTATCTGAATCTCAGAGTTGGTGCTCACTCTGGGACTCAAACCCAGTACCTTTCGCTTCAAACGCCATCGCGTTATCCACTCGGCCACTGAGTCCTGATAGCCACTTGTTTGTGCGATGGTTGTAGTCCTAACACATCGATGGGAAGATTCAAACAAAACAATACTACGTGAATTTAATATACAGAATGATTCATAAGCATTGGCTTACTATAGCCATTAAGCATACGGAAATTATCAAACGTTGAATGTATATAAAAACTTTCTTTTTTAAATGTTATCTAATTTAAGATAAATAGAAGAATATTTGTAACTTATGAAATATTATTTTCACCAACGAATTTATTTAAAACTATGTATAATATCAGAGGTCAATAAAAACAACTTGGTAATAAGAATCATATACCAATAGTTAAAATTTTCACTAGAAAAATGCACATTTCAATGAACTCACCATTTTATTGGTAGAGTAATCTTTTTATAACATGAAACATTTAATAATATAATCTGATTTGTAGCATCTATTAATGACTAACTGACGAACTCCTATTCATTATATATGTATATAGAGTTATCTTACATTCAACATTTCCAGAGATAATAAATTAAAATTCTAGACAATGAAATATTTCAATATAATTTGTGTTAAGTTATCAACTAGTTTTGTTAATTTTTAAAAATTCCTATTGATCAGCTTTAATTTATTTGTTCCATGCAAAGAAAAACTTGAAAAATTTACCCTTTCTATGATAATCTTAAATATGTCAAGCGTGTAATTATAAAAGAAATGTGTTATAATTATAAATAATTTACATCTCTTTTCTTTTTATTCTAATATTTTTCTCCTTGTTTTTTTTTTTACTTGTAAATATAATTTAAGATAGTAAAAGTCAAATTTACTTTGATTATGCCCGCGGAATGCCTATACTATTTAATACTAAGTCAATCAGTTTAACAAAATTTCGTTTTATTGTTTGTTGTTACTTTGTATTCTATTGAAACAAAAATGACATAGCAGATAATAGCAAGCGCTTGCGTTTATATATATACATATATATTATGAAGGATAAATAATTCAATATAGTTAAAATTCCATCTTTTTTTTAACCAAATTAAACTAAATTAGCAAACATACGCTTTCATCAAAGTTTGTTGTATAAGTAGCAAATGAACTTTTTTTTAAAAAATTACTTGAAACTCTACTGTTAAGTCAAAACAACTACATGAATGAATTCATTGAATTTTCATGGAATATATTACACTTGATGATGTATGCAATAAGTGAACTATTATTTTGTTGTTGTTGAACATTTATTTAAATTATCTGATCTAAGATTACTGAATGAAACGATCAAATTTGTAAATACATGTTAAGAGAAAGAGTGTAATGAAATACTACTTAAGATAAAAATCATTTAATGAAACTCAACGTTAAAATATTATATCATTCACAAGTGAATAGTGTTTTCGTTACTTTTACCTTTTTAATGAAAATGCTATTCCAGTATTCGCCAGTTTCCGTTGTTAATTTTCAGTGATAATACGGGTTATCAGCCTTGATATTCCGTAAAATATGTTTATAACTACTTTTGTAAGCAATATATTTGACTTAAATCAGTGAGTTGTAAGTTCAAACATTTCATTTTTATCTCAATTTTCGAAACTGGGAAGTATCTGTAGTTCAAACAAAATTGTATGCAGCTTAAAAGCCTATCACGTTAACCTGCACTTAGTAAACGAGTTATTTGCTTGTGTTTTGGGATATAACTCTACCAACTTTGATTTGAGATGTCTGGTACTAGTAAAAGCTGTTATGTAAAAATGGTCTAGCTCAAAAACTAGCTCACAATCGTGTACTTGGCAAATTATCCTTGAATGACATTACAATAACTCGAAGTTCAGCGAAGGAATCTCTATTCAACGAATTTATTATCAAGCTGTACAATCGTATGTACATGAAAATGTCTTGTTAAACTACTAATTCCGCGTTCATATTTCCTCACGGAATTAGTAGTTTAACAAGACATTTTCATATATATACGATTGTACAGCTTGACAATAAATTCGTTGAAAAGAGATTCCTTCGCTGAACTTCGTGTTTTAATTACAATAACTGACTAACTTCATGAACACTAAGTAATTATGATTTTTTGTCATTGTGTTGATAAACACATTATTTATTTAGTTATTGTTAATGTTTTAATTGACCGTTAGGTGGCTTTTGTGGTGTATAATCACATAAAGCTAGTAAGTTTACTGAATGTTTTAACAAGGCTTAGAAAAACAATAGTCATATTACACATAAAATAATGTTATGTTTTAAATCACTTACATGCTTACTGATATAATTTCTCTTTTTGAAACCTCATTTTGAAGATACTGGTTCAGGAGTACCTATTCCTAACGCTTTCAACTTGTCGAGTGGTGCATACTTTTGGCTATATAACTCCCAGTGCAAAGGTCCAAAAGCCTCTCCATTAATAAGCTTAACAAACACCATGATTTTGAATAATTCGGGTGAAGATGATCAATCAAGTTTGACAGAAAATTGTCCTTCAAGTGTCTATCAAGACGATTTCGTCTCTTCTAGTGCTTCTTCTCGTGCTATTAATCCAATAATACATTATCCTATATCCCCATTATCCTTGCCAGGATACCCATTTGTCGTTTTTGAAGATCCTGTTCAAAGAAGATATGACCTAGTTCACTGCTCGAAACTGCGTCGAGGTGATGGTAATGATGTAACTCCAAATTTAATGCGTTTACGTTCTATGGGAGAAGAACTTGCTCACTTGAATAAAAATATTACAGCTCAAGGTGAGTTGATTGCAGCCGGTACAAGTTCAGTGCTTGATCAGTCCGATAATAATGTGGACTTTAAGATCATTCAGGATTTTTCTGGGAGTATCTTCAATTACAAAATAGTTGAACAGGCGAAACGCGAAAAAAACAAGTTGGCTAGCAAGTAAGTTTTATTATAGTAGATTTCAGGAGTTAAATATTTTAAATCAAACATATTCATTGCATTGGGTGAAGTAACAGGCACCCACAATGAATCATTTAACTATAGACATCATGATCAATAAGTTGTCTGTTTACTGCAGGTCGACACGAAAACATTCATTGTTATTATTCTCATTAAAAACACAGATCAAATTAAAATATATGTAGTTCAAGGAAAATATGTTTTTCGATAACTTACAATGCGGAATAACTTTAGTTTTACAATCATCAGGAAGCACAAGATATATGTTTCATCGTACGGTTAGATTTTTTCAGTAATATCAAATCATGGTCCCATCGGGAATCAAACCAAAAACGCGTCAAGTATTTCAGTGGGCTCTTATGCTTTAGACCATTGAGGAAGCATCGAATGGTTTATACGTTTAAACCCCAATCAATTTGAGACATTGTGCAGCCATCATCCAGTGTTCACAATGAGGAATAACCTCATGCTTGACGTAGTTAAATTCCACTAGCTATGAGTACTCATTAGAACTACCATAATTACCTCTTGAAATTAGTCGATATGAGTACACGATTCCTATTATTAAATAGATTTTTCGGGATCGCCAAAGTTCAGAATTAATATCATTAACTGATTTTGGTTAGATGTGTAAACCATTGGATGCCTGCTCAGTGGTCTAAAGGTTAAGTTCTCACTGGAAGACCTGAAGGCTTTTAGTTTGATTACTGATGAGATCACAGATGGAAATTGTTGAAAATTCCATACTAAGACGAATCATATATCTAGTCCTTCTTGATTTTCAACAGTTGTTTAACTAAATTCAATCCTTGATATGAACCATGAAAATTAATAATCTTCACAAACTTTCTATCTGGTGGGAGAATGTTTAATAAATCGACTCATAGGTAAAATGGCTCAGAAACGTAGAACTTCCTATCAGAATGTATTAATTTTGATGATTCATATATATATATATATCCGTTGTCAGTATATATAACATGTAACATAATCTGTGTTGTATAAAGTAGTAGTTTACAGAAATTTATATACTCAACTAAAATGTAATATATTCCTATGAACCATAAATTAACTTTGTCCAGACAACAAGTGTAAAAGTATTTCAATATCATCTGTCTACGTTTCCTAACTTTGGTGTATGAGCGCTAGATATTAATTTAAGCTAGTTTCCTTATTCAAACTCGAAATATCTACCTTTTTAATCAATCCTTTATTTCTTAATTACAAAATTACCCTTCTTCATACTTAATTCTTTATTATATTCCTTGTAGTTTCTAGTACGCATTTGTCATCTTGATTTTAATGTTATTCTTATGTTATAATTGAAAGCTTTGAGTCTTATACAAGTGTGGAATTTACTTGTTTGAAAGTAACATCCACTACGTATTTCAAAGTAAAGAATCTACAAAATAAATTTTTATAAGTTGATAATAACTTTGTACTGGATTTGTCTGATCAATTTGACTGATAGTAATAAGTATGCATTATATTTCAAAGCTTATGTTTTATTTTCATCAATAAGGTTTTCATTAGTTTACTTTATTCGAAAGGAATTTATGAAAAACAATGTCATAAGAGTTTTTATAGCGATTATCTTTTCAAACCATTAAATAATATCACGAAAACTGTACCACGTTGATAGTTCAGTCATTATAAACTATTGTCTTATTTGATTATTATTATTATTATTAATTTTGTATTCATTTTTCCATTGATAATTCAATGACCATCTTATTTGTCTTTATTTTATCTACATTTATTCATGGAAACCATGACTTACGAACTTGATAATAATCTTTTGACGGAATTATTTTCATTGTTTTATTCTTTTTACCATTCATATAATTCGATATCATTCTGTAGGTAGATATGTTTTGTGCCCATTGATAAACTGTTAATTTACAAATAAACACAACCATGAAAGAACAATATAATGGCACTAATCTTAGAGTAATCGAATTAGAACGTTTTGTGAAAGAAATGAGTATTGAGATATTCATCAGGAAAATAATTAATTCAAATCTCTTTTAAGATTTTATTACGTAATTTATCAAACTTCGGTCACATTCACATTAACTGTGTTTCCTTCAATTTATGGAATAGTTTCTATTATCTTATAAAACGCAGTCATATGGAGTATATCAGTGAATTTATTGATTGGCTAAAAAATGAATAAGTAATAATATTGTCACATTATAAAATTTATTTATCTAATTAACAAAACATTTAATAAGAAAGACTTACATTATTGTTGATTTGTGTTGTCTTTTAATATCGATTTATTCAGTATATTCCGAACAGTTATTTGCTAGTCATAAGTTGTAAATTCGTTCGGCCGTATGACATATCTCTTTATTATAACGATAACTTTCTGGTTGACAGTGGATTATGAAATGGTCGGTTGCAATAGATTAATCAATATTATAATGTTATCAGCTGACGTAGTGTCGCTTACCACTTTTCAATGTATTTCATAAAATGTTACACTATGATTCAAAATATCAGTATTACATAGAAATTATTAGCCTTACTTTCCCAAGAAGTATAAAGTTGTTGTAAACGACATAGACTGCAATTAGTTAAAAACAATGCAAGTCACTGACGGTTCAATTTCACTCAAGGTATAATTGTCTGAGTTTACAGGAAATTCCTTGAGTTCATGTTAATATTTCTACTGCTGGCTTTTAGGCATGAATTTAATGCCATACTACAATCAATTAGTTATCTACTACTTACAAAACTATTTCTGTTTTCATTTACAACATAACATATCATAACTGAATGCTCTCACATGTACGAGCCAAATTTTTTGACGAACTCAAAAATTAAAGGAGAAGAATCTAATAATACTGTTGATTTACGATAGATTAATTAGAATATTTAGTACACATGAAGTGGGTTAAGTAAACTTTAGTATTGAGACGTTAACAACATAATTAACGAACAATATTTATTATATTTTCACTAACAAACATAAATAATACCAAGGGCTTTTATAAAAGTTTTGAGAAGTAGAATGTTGCTAACTGTTGTCTTTTTCACGAAAAGTGTAATCAGGCTAATAATAACAGAATACAGAAATTGACAATGACTAGCTAACCTACCTCGGTGAATTAATATACATGAAGCGAAAATAAAATGTACATGTACATGTATTTCTTCACATCAATCTTTTTCATAAACGACGTACTTATGTTGTACTTCCATCGTTTCATTAAATCAAAGATATCGACATCGTGAAATGTTGAAAAGGTAATTACATTTTGGTAGTCTTGTATTCTGTGAGACAGATGGTTCAATTAAAAATCTTCATTTGGGGTTCTAATCATCATTATGACTGAATATTATCGTCATTACAAAATATATCTCACTGATAGTCGTTCCACTGTATTGGTATTCAACTACGTATTCTCAATATAAACGGAACACTTTTATTTTATTTAATTAAATAACCTGAAAAGCAAAAACACTAATCTTCATCATATTTCAGTGGTATTAGATGTAATCAAACCATGATTTAATTTTATTTGGAACAAACCATTTAGTAAAGCATCTGTTTTCTACTGTAGACGAATCTATGAAATACTTCTTTACACCACAAAATCTTCATGTATGAGGATAAATATTTTTCAAAATAAATCGGTGATTATTATTTATCTTCTTGAAAGATTAACATTATTACTAAACGGATCAAAAGAGATTTTAAGCTCTTACTCCTCTCAAGATTATCCTTGAACGTATTGAGATATTGAGCATTGTAAGTGAACGACTGGAAACTAGTTCCAGGTTCCATGCTATTTGAGACTCGTCAGCAAGACATCCTTGACGACTTGATAAGACTGGTTCACTCTGAAAGATTTGACTTCATGTCTCCCAGCTTCACAGTCAGAGACGTTAATATAAATTTATTTGGACCACGACTAACCGCTCATAGGACTGAGACATTTGTAAGTGATTGTTTACGGATTAGTGACCAGTGTCAAATTTTCCTCGCATTTTTAGTTCCGAATGAGTTTTATCGATAAAGTTATGAATATCTCAATCCTACAGGACAATATAGCATGATCAATAGAACTTGATCAGCACTCAAAGAATCGGACAAATATGACATTGATCACTACTCAGTAATCAATAAGTGGTAAATCCTAAAACGTGATCATAAAGAACTTGTATTCAACTAAAAATGTCATTATTTTAAGTATTCACTTATTTCAATTAGAACATAGATTTCTAATACACTACTGAAAAATCAAATTTTAGTATGCAAGACTAATTTAACATATCGTTTGTTACTTTAAACAACTATTTTTACTACGTCTATTCAGAAGTACAGATTTCTCAGCGTTACATTAATGTGACACCAAGTTCGAATGAGTTTTCTTTTATAGGAAATGTATTTTAAATGTCCTAAAAGAATCAAAGCTATGAATGACAATTCCACTATAGATGTTTACGATTTCATATGATAAGTGTATTTGGCTAAAAAGTAATGTGTACTTCTCCTTTTTACAAAAATAAATTCATGAATGAATATTTTCTGAAATTAATTGTGAATAAAGTAAACTTCAATTAAAAAACTTTTATGAAATGGTTTATTCTAATAATAAAAGCAAACTGTTCAAGAATTTTTTGGGACTGCCAAATTTTTTTACTGGACAATATGACTAAATATTATAAGATTCCTTGCCCTATCTGTATTGAAGTGTATCCATGTTAGTCATGAAAAATATAAATTTTTGTGATTGGAGATTATTTTATTTAATACTACTTATCTTTGAAATTATAATTTACGGAAGGTTCATAAAGCGTTCAATAAATTCGATTTTTAAGTGTATGTTTTTCTTTTCAGAATTTGTCGTCTTAAAAAGAAGGCGTTTCATGAAGCCAATAAAATAAAATATCTTGGATTGGAGATTGAATATAGTAAGTTGAATATTAACTTAATTAATATTCTTTATTTTAGATTTCTTTCTTCCACTGAATGAAATTATATTCGGTTATAATAAAAAAAATTGTTTTCTTATTATCTTATAGATATTGATGACCTTAATCGCTTAGAAAATGTATTTGCAGTTATCATTAGTAGGTAAAAGAATATTTACCGTGGACAGTATTTTTTTGAAGTGTTATTAATTTGATAATGAATTCGTACTAAACGATAAATTTTAAATTTAATTTAATTTTACTTCGCTGTTGAAAAAATCGTTTGAAATAGCTCTATGAAATGATATTTTTACAAAATAAGTGTATTCTTTCTATTATCAAGTTAACGACAGATCTTGGGTTTTAAGAATATTAAATTAAAAATTACATTAAAACAAAATAAAATATACATAAATGAAATTTAGACAATCAAATATTAGTAGATGCGTTTTGTCAATGATTCGAATCCATTGAGACATTGTTGTAAATCAAACCACATGTAAACACTGGTTAATCTGAATAAACAGCTTCTCGTCTGTGCTCACTTATAACAAAAAAAGATGTTGAGATACAACGTTTAGGAAACTTATACAAAACAGAACTACGAAGGTTTAAATACCTTTCTAAGTTTCATATTGTTGCTTATGAACCACGACAGTAAATGCAAACTGTTTCTAAAAGATTAGTTTGTAAAAGTGATAATATACGTACATGTTAAGTATCATTTAATTATGCACATTCGGATTTCCTAATCTATATGATCAGTCTGTCAAATAATCATGACAGAAGATGATCAGAAATCCAATGGTAAACGTTACTGATATTAGGTAGACTTTAACTATTGCCACAACAGCAGTTAGACTGGAGCTTAAAAGTGAAGATACTAATCGATTATTTCTTTTATAATTGTTTATAAATATTCTCGTGTAATATTTAGGCATAAGCTGTTTATTTTCTGAAAATATTACAGATACTTGAGCGACAAAATGGCATACTTCATTAGTTAATTTTTAATGTAGAAGAGAACTTAAACAGTCATGATTTTTGGGCATTTATAAGTCACACTGAAAAGAAAATTAATTTGTCGCCGACAAGTTTATTTTTGGATTCATTTGATAGCCTCACTTCATGATGAAATGCATATGGCTTATTTCAGAAGATTACACTTCTGGCTGATATTTTTGTATTTAAGTTGTTTAACCTACTTGAGGACTTACAGGTGAAGTGGTAGGAAATAAATAACAGATTACGTAACTGGAAAATACATTTGAAGTTAACTTCTATCATGACTAGGAAAACTCTCATGGTTTACTCAAATACATTATCGATGCATCTTATTCTCTGAGTCGTTTTTAAATTTCGGTTTGCATGAATCTATTTTTATTATAGTTGAGTAAATAGCAAATTAACATCATTACATCCATTGAGAAACATTGTAATGGTTACATATATATAGGAACTAATGGTGATTTTGGATTAGTGATATTCTGAAAAATCTAGAATAGAAACACAATATTTAAAAAAAAGAGAGAACCTTTTCTTTATATTTTTGAAGCGCATACTATAATCCAATCGCCTGTTTAACTCGTTTGCAAGAGTATGTCTTAATTCACTTGAAAAAATTAATTTTATTAATAATTGGCACATGATTTTCTGTTATTCTATCTTGATACAACCACCAAAAATATATTTTTATATCGATTAAAATGTTTACTGATACGAACTGATTAGGAATATTGTCATAGCTTTTTCCATGAAGAAATTGTTTTGCCCTAAGATTAGATATATCTCCTTAGAGTGTAAAGAAGAAAAATTATATAGTAAATATTAAACACAACTAAAAAAACAAAACTTTGAAGCAGTCAAAGTGTATATGATAAGTAAGACTATTAAAGACTTTCATGTTACGACTCTGTTTCTTATTCGGAGTTAATTGTTGATTAGATTTTTGACTCATTTTCTAGTTCACTCATCAAAGTATATATACTGAGACGATAAATATTGCTCTATTCAACAGTTTACTAGTATTTTCTGTGACGAATAACTCAAATATCTAGCAAAATAACAACAACAAAAATATACTTTCTTCGGAAACGGGAAAAGATTGTGCTGTTTTATAATCATGAATCAAATATAGCACAAACGTACTGAGTTACTTGCTTATACAACTTGTGTAGAATCCAAAAGAGTGGATATTATAGAATTTTCACAGTTTCTAAATCCCGAACTGATGTTTTCTACACCAGTGCTAGAAATCGGAAATTACTAGACAACTATTTCGTCTCGATATGAGGCTCCTCGGCAGTGTTCGAATATGATAGCATTACAAGGAATCGAAACCACGACCTTCGATCTCGTCACTGAGCGCTGAACAAATTGATTATTGAGACGGCATTTAGAAATAATAATATCCAACATAAATTAATTCGCGATACCGTGCAATCCTCATCCATTCTCTGAGGTTGAATTCCACTCATAACGGCTTCTTAAAAGGACCGTAAGAGTTACATATTGAACCGAGTCACGTGTGAAGAAATAATTATCATTACTACAAGATTTCGCGCTAATCATACAATTTTCACAGGTTGTAAAACACAAAATAGTGTTAGCTAGACAGCCATTTGGATTTATTTCAAGAAAGCGTCTTCATGAAATTGCAACAATAGAGGCAGTAGTAGCAACAGCAACACAGATTTCTTTATAAGTTACGATAATTTATACATGTTTTAACCTTTCATACTTTTGGCGTAAAATATAATCCGGTCAATTTATATGGTTAATCAAAAAATGTAAAGACATTTGAGCAGTCAAATTGTAAGTCACCAGTAAACCACACACGTTTACACAAGAGTGAGCCTAAAACAAATATATATGGACAACGTGATATCAATAAGGTAATTAAAACATATTTACAATATACGCTAACGCTTGAAATACTCCTAGAGAACAATATAATGACTAAATGAATGAGTAAACGTTCAATTATTCAAGATAACCACTTTCTCATTTTAATTCCATATTGAAATTAAACATAGACAACAAGACAAAACAATAATTAAAAACAGCATTGATAGTGTTAAGATGAAAATACTTGTATTTTAAAATTAGGTCTTTATAAGACTTAAAATGAGCCAACTAAAAATTTGTAAAATATATACATTTGTTACTAATATTGGACAATCTAGATTTTTTTCTGTTGAACATAAATCTTGAGTCCTATACTGGCTATCATATTTATTGTTTATATATATTTATATGTATATATATTGTTGTACATTTTCAAAATCAAAGAGGATGTTTTGTGTTGTGCTGCTGTTTCTTCATTGTATTTTTGATAAAGTGAAATTAAAACCTTTGTTTAGTTTAAATTTTTGGCATTTTCTCTGTTTGTATAGTGATATATGTTTATTGAATTACTATTTGAATAAATTAAGCTAATACAATACTAAATTTAAAGTACAGGCATGCTAACTAATAATACTGTTCGATGAATTTTTTTTCATGATGATATTTTTTGATATTATAATATTGACTTGGTTTTCCAAGACACGTAACATGATGCCTTACAATTATGATAGTTAGTTCATGGTTTTACCTTGTTTAAACTGGAGAATGAGTTCTGTGCTGATAACATAAATTTTAATTGCTAGATATTTATGATCAACCTGTTGTACGATCTTCATCGAAAGTCAAAAAATGAAAGCACTTATTCATTCATCCTGATTTTTTTCAATTTAACGGTAAATTTGTGGGTTCACTTTATACAAATAAAATATTTCAGCTCACCAAAATTTAATTTACTTTGAATGGCATGAGATATTCATAAAAAGAATTGTCTTAAACTGAAAATTTGATCGTTATAAAATATAATTTTGATCAAACTAGCCTGAATACCACACATGGCTAAACTATGTTGTATATAAGCTGCAAATGAAGAAAGAAAAACCTAATCAGCTAAGGTATCATCGAAGTCATAAAGAACTGCTATGATTCCTATGATTAAAACAAAGGCAGTGATTAGATTAACTTTAATGTTGATCAGGTTTGTTATAGTACTTATAGTCATGAACGTTTAAAAGCATTTGTTATATGGAAATCTTAATTTCAACGATTGCAATACCATCGTAGTATTGGTAAACAGTCAAGAAGATACTGATCGGTTTACGAAAATATTCATTAGAAGATGAAACTGCATATTGCTAAGATGTTCAATTGTATTACTATTGGAATGTTCAGGTGGATTGTGACTGCTATTTAATGATTTTTCAACATGGATTATATCTAAAATTGAGTATTTACCATTTCAGAAATATTGTTAAGTGACACCAAAGAATCTTTGGCCAAAAATAAATACATTTTATTATGTGTTTGTGTAAACAATCCAGTTTGAATAATATCCCCGGTTTCAGGTAGAATTCAGTCGTAAACACGTATGTATAGCCGTATGAAATAAGATCTAGTCTAGTACTGTTAATCATGTCCTAAGTGAAAAAGCTAGAAAAGAAGTCCAAATAATTTAATAAAAATTTAAAAGAGCTTAATTTATACGTTTAAAATATAAGCATTACTGCGACAGATGATGTTAGGCGTTTATAATGTTACCAAATCCTATCCGTATTCTTTTTTATCTACAAACGGACTAAGCGATTATGAATATTCTAGATATGCTACATAGTGATCACCTTTAAAAATTCTTTAATTCATGTCATACTTTGTGACTTTCCAGAGGGAATGTATCACGTTTAGTTCACAACTTCAAACGAATTAAAAATGAACATGTTTAATTCTTTGCTCTGAAGAATACGTTTACGAATCCGAATAACTGTCCATTCTTTACATTTTTAAATCGTGATAACAGTGTTCAAATCACCATGGGCAAAAACGCTTTCCCAAACATGCAGACTGGTGAAATATTTCTAAATTTCGCATTTTGCTACTTAATAACGAAAAGTAGTATAATCATTTAAAAAAATATTTCAAAACTTTAGATCAATCATGGTTGAATAAAAAAGGAGAGAATCTTACTGGTTATCAGTCAAGTCTCCCAAATATCTTTGGGTTTCATATAATCTGTCTCATTTAGGTGACCAACAAAAGTCTCATTTTCAACGTAAGTAAATTTTAAAATGTAAGAAATTCCCATCGTGCAGCGTAGAACGACACAAATAGACAAATAATATTGTTTTCTCACTTTGATCTTTATCAGACATTATTCTGATATTCAGTTATATTTTTACCTATATGTGAAAAATAATAAACCGATCAAGGCAATTTATTATTCACTGGTGATACTGAAATGGGCTGCATAATGATAATTGTTATAAAAATAACAGTACATCTTACTATAAGTCTGTAGTTTCTGCTTGTTGTGTCTTGTTATGCAGTCTATTTTATGGATGTCAGTGACTAATAAATTTCTTTGATCGGTTTAATATTTTTCATATATGGGTAAAAATACTTGTAAATATAGTTGTATGTTAGAGTAATGTCCGGCGAAGATCCGATCAAAAACAATAGTTATCATTTTTATATGTTATTTTAATGGAATGATAGTGCAGATTTTGGTGGTGTTTTGTCAATAATTTTGTATAATGAAAATTATTTACGATCAATAACATATTTATTAGGTTTTTTCTGTTTGTTGCTCACTCACTTCATTGAGTTATTGTCAGTTAATATTAACGTATTATAACTACTTGGATCTTATTTTTGAATACTATTAATTCGTTATATTATTAAAGATAACAATGCGATGAAAGCTTCATAACCTAACTATCTCGCTCAATAAACACAAGGCTTAAAATAAAGCAGTTTGATTACCTAACAAATCCTATATTACTACGAACATGAATTAGTACATTTTTTAGCCACCTGGAAATTGAGTCACCATGTAGGCTATGCAAAATCACATAATATGAGTTGTAAAATAAATCTTAAAGCCTGTGGGAAGGTCTACAAAAATATTTTTAATTAGCGGATTTTATTGGTAAAACAAATAAATACGTTAACAACTTTTTGTTTGTTAATTTATGTGTCAAAGTGACTATATAAGGACTTTATACGTATTTCATATTTTAGCTAATTAAGTGACCAAATTTTAAACTACAATGGTGTTAAAAAGAAATAATGGACAGGGAATAAAGTGACACTTCAAGAAAATTTAAACATTTAGCACAATCCTTCCTTATTATCGAATATAAGCTGACATTGGTTGTTATGATTTTTAATAACATAGTTTCTCGTTGCCACTATTTGAAATATTTGAACTATTAAGTGATAATACACAGGTTATTATGATTGCAAACGTAATGTAGTTTGTTCGTGCTGAATAAGTATCAATTTCGAAAAAATATATATATATATATCTATATATATATATATATATATATATATATATATATATAATTAAAACTTTGACCAATAATGAAAATACTTACGTGTTGGGTATTATGTAACAGGCAACAGTTGCAATATTTTAAGCATATGTGCAAGATTACTAGCTACTCGACGACCTTCATTTTTATGCTTGCATAATCATTTCTAATCTGATGAATAGCCTCTTTATAACATTTAGGTAAAGTATTATGTATGTAAGTTATAGTTTTGATACCTCAATATAAATTCTCATACTCCTAAATATTTTCATTTGCATATTTATATGACATTATAAATGTTATGTACCAGGTTACCTCTTGAAGAAAGATTTAAAAATTTGGCAAGAATATATTTATATTTGTTGTCTGATATTCAAGTAGTATAATATTTGATTTGTAATAATACCCTAATAAAAGCGTTCACTGAAAATTAATCATCTGTTTACATTTTTTGTTAAAGATATAATAGAGCTATTTTCGTTGTGCGAAAAATGCTAGCCAACACTGCTTTCACCTTTTCAGTTTAATGTCAACCTCAAATGTATTCATGTCCTGGAAAACGAACTTACTGACTTATTTAGTTATTTGTTCTCCTTGAGTGTACACCTTTCAATCGGGAAAAATAGACAATTATAATCGTCCACTAAATAAATAAATATCTGAGTACACCTAACACCACAAGTGTCAAACGGCGCTTATCTTCCTTACTTATTAACGATTTCTTTAAAAATGGGTACATGGATGGATTGAAGTAAGACATCAACATTGTTGGATGCTGGCCCACTGGTCTAGAGGGTTAGCGTCTGCGCGCAAGACCGAAGGTACTGGGTTCTAGTTTCGCATGCAGGGTCGTGGATGAGCACTGCTGAGGAGCTCCATACTAGGATGAGACAGCTGCCTATTGCTTCCAGATTTTCAATGGTGGTCCAGCTTTAATCGACTCATGAATTCAACTATTAAAAAACACATGAACGTCAGAATGTGGGATACTGTCTTTAAGTAGCTTACTTTGCAGCGACACTGGGAAACCAATACAATATATGACGCAAATTTAGACGGCGAAAACTCAGCATATAGACGAAAAATAATGCTATGGCAGTCAAAACATTCAACGATTGGAGGGTTAATACTAAATCTACGTGTTTCCTGTTACAAAAGTTATGAAGTGAAATATGACAAACACAAATTATTCATGTAATAATTTAGGTTAAAAAGTTAAATGTTTATCTGTCAAACCCACAAACGAAATTGTAATGAATAGATTTTTACGAACTATCTAGTAGCTTAAAATCTACACTTCAATCTTAATCCTTTATTTTTATTTATAATCAAAGTAATAAATATTTTGTTTGACATCGTAAACATTTTACTGGACTCAATGTTGAACCACTGGTTCAAAGTGTGTTTTATTCTGTTTGTTCCGCAGATGAATTGGCGTCAGTTATAGTAAAAATAAAAGAATTGATTACAAAAGCTCTAAGAAATAATTTACCACCAGAAAATTTCCATTATGATTTAGCGAGTCAGCAACACTTTTACATGTCTGAAAATCAATTAAATAAGGTGGACTTATCATCAACATCATGTCACGCTGGATCGATATCGTTAGCACAATCCACCGTCAAACTTTTTCCAAATATTTCGGGATCAGTATTCAAACAAGCTTTATTATTCTATGAAACAACACATGGTACGTTCAGAATTGATGTTAAGAAAAATGAACTTGTCTGGTTTTTAAAATCATTTTATAAATCGTTCTATTTTAAGATTTCTATTCGAATGGTCTGATAGTTTCAATTCATTTAGTATTGTTTGTTTGAATCTTCCCATCGATGTTTTTAGGACTGCAACTGGTCAGTCTCTGATTGGCATATGTGCATACTGTGCGTATTTCCTCGATATAGCCTAAATTCACAAGCGCGGTAAGCAAAGATGGATATACCTGCATCTCAGAGTTGATGTTCACTCTGGGATTCGAACCCAGTACTTTTCGCTTCAAACGCCATCGCTTTGTCCAGCTGACGAGTCCCAAATATGGACAAAAATCGGGTCCTGGATTCCACCACTAGCCACTATCCATCTTTGCTTACCATGATAGTTTCAATGTTTATTTAACGTCGTTTAATCAGTTGTTGTCAAAGATTGTGAATATAGAGATATGAAGTTTAGGAAAGGTATCAAGGTGTAAAAAAAGCATTAGTCATCTGCATTTTAACTGAAAGATATTTGTTTAGAGATATCATACTATCGACTTATAATCAACTAACATAAATGCAAGTTTTCAAACACTCACTAACGTCATGGAAAACGATCTTTTAAGAAGAAAACGTAAAACGAAAAAGTGTATTGGACGGAACTGAATTTCTTTCATTTGTTTAGGTTAACAGCTATTTCTTTTACTAATGACCTACTACAAAATACAGCACATATGACAATTTTTGTTGAAATAATTTAATTTCATTACTCTTATATGAAACCTTTCGCAATGTGTGATTACTATTATATTTTTAAATGAAGACAACAGTTACTGGTTTTATTGGTTTTCCTGCTATTTTGTAAATGTTTCATTTGATGTACACTGACATATAGCAGAGTGTATAGATTCGTCTTAAAACTATTAACTGAATAGTTTACTGTGATATGTCATTGTTGACATACTGACTCGTAGACTAATCGTAAACAATCATGAGCATTTAGTTGCGTTTAGAAGACAACCTGGATATCAATATTTTTGAAATATGACTAGATTAAGGGTATTTTTAAACTGATTTTTTGAATAAGAATGTGATTTTATATAATTATGTTGTTATTTCCTGTTTTCATCTTTCGCATAAACAAGTTACCCGGACGGCTGAAAGAATGGATATATTAGTCGATGAAGTCATCCAAAATTATTCATTTCCCTGTTCTTTATCTTCTGGTAGAACTGACTTATTTGAACATGATAATCAATCTCTTACATCAAATAGAAAATACTATACTCCTTTACTGCAAGCTTTGACAAATTCAAACATGTATTGCAACAATCACGATGAGGATAAGTCACCGGATAGTAGAAATTCAAATGTTATCTTTCATGAAGCACCAGAAATAAACAAAGCAAACGATATTCAACAAGATACAAAAAAACAACAATGTCCATCAACATCTAAATTAAATTATCCAAGACCACCACCAGAATTCAAACTAATTTATGAATGAAAAAAATCACAGACATCAAAGAAACTACTGACTAACGAAGTAATTCTCAATCATTCCCTTCTAGCTTTACAACTAAACCTGTTTACTAAGATGAGTTAAACTTATACCTTGAACTAACCAAACTGAAGTTTTTTTTGTTCTTTTTTATTCTTAAATAAATATTTGTTTTATTGTATGCAAGTATAGCTAAACCCCAGTAAAAATCTGTGATAATAAATGTGTTCTTTTGTTTTGAATATAATAGATAATCTATTGTTCATTCCATGCATACTTATTCCATTCTATGTTTATATTTAATTTTATATTGTTGTTCTGTAATGTTCATCTTTCAATATTACTTCACATGTTATCATTCTATATTTTATACGCCTATCCAATATACATGCAAACACTCATACACCACATTAAATGTTGAATATTTTCATTTGATAATCATTATACTACTATCAATAATTATGCAATAAACGGTGTTAACAAGATTTCATAATTTATGATTATTTTAAACAATTTATTTCAAATTTCATAATCATTATTCTTTCTCTCATTTATTAACTAATAAGGCTTATATATTTATCTCCCTTTTATAAAGACAAAAACAGAAATTACTTGATTCATTTCATGTCTTTGTGTGCATAATAGTTAAAAGTATATCTTGATAATAAATAATACTATTAATTATACTTCATAATGTTAGTAGTTGTAGTTGTGATATTAATATTATCAGTAGTAGTAGTTGTCGTTGTGGTGTGGTGCGTACTACTGATATAGGCAAATATAAGTAGTATGTATCGTTAATCGAAAATGAAATGCCTAGAGACAGAAGGCTAAGGACATCAGCGAAAGGAGAACGAGAACAAAGATCAATGAAGTGTGGGACAATTGACTGATATTTGCAAAAGGAACAGTCAAATTTGAGAGAAGTGATTAACATTTTGCAAATGAAGTATTTACTGTATGGTTCTCAGGTTTCCTTAAGAAGTTTGATATTCGAATACGTTTGATTGTCCCCACTTGTGTTCTCGTTCAGCATAGTAGCAGTAGCGGTGGCACGTTGAACCTATGCGGTTGTGAAGTGTATATAAGTGATAAATTTGATGAACATTTCAATACAAGTTTATGCAACATCTAGTAAACAAATTCGAAATAATAATAAAAATCATGATCCTTGTTAATGTAAAAAATTACTTTTCTCTTGTTAAACGGCGTTGCTATTCATGTTTATCACTGTGTCTCTAGTTGTCTCATATTACTCATTTAATCTACCAAGTGGTAAATTCACTGTTTTGTAGTCGTTAAATTAATTATGCATCTGTGCTCTATCTCAAAATAGAGACATTTCAAATTGACCATTAGTTTTTATGTGAATCTGATCATTAAAGTAATATGTCCAAGATACCATGTCTGTTTGACACTCCTCAAAGAGAATAGACAAATATAGTTGTTAGCTGTAAGAAATTCGCTTATATGAATAACTGAAATATGTCTTCTAAAGGACATAGTTATTTGAGCGTAATAAAAGTCTTGTTAATTTCCATCGTTCATTCTTTAAAATTCATTTGTATTGATAAGTAATTGAGAAGTGTATAGTACACATAACACAGAAAGATAACTAATGTAATGAAATATGTTATTTGGTTTATTCAGTCCAAGCAATTGTAAGTCAAACTAAATGCGTATTTCCCTGATGTATAAGTGATCTTCAGATAGCAACTGAATGATAGAATTACCATGATGTTATAATTTGTCTGCGAAGAAATATATCCATAAACCGTCAACTGCATATTGAGTTAAATCAGTTTACAAGATATAAAAGAAGTGATATTTATTCGTAAATTAGATGCACACACTTAGCAATAAACGATAAACACAATTTTGAAAGTATTATTCGGGGAGTTGTAGCTTGGTGAAGCGTTAAACGATGAATTACTAATGTGTACTATCTACCATCATTCAAGTAAACACCAAATCTTTTTCATTAGTACATAGGGATTTATAGAAATTGTAGAAACATCATAGTTTAAATCATATGCTACTAAGTTTTTAGCTACAAAATGCAACGCCTGCGATTCTAGTAAGAAGCCGTTATGAGTGAAATTCAACCATATTCGGTGCGAAACAATAATCCATATCAGGTATTGAATGAGGACTGCACAGTATAGCGGACTGATTGAAGTTGGATATTAACACCACTGAATGCCGGCTCAATGATCAATTTGGTTAGCGTTGACTCACAAGATTGTAAAAGATTCTTGTTAATTACTATGTTGAAAATCCGAACTATGTTCATTACAAAGCGAAATAACTTGAAAATAGTGTCTTCATGTAAAATCACATTATGGTTAGGTAAAGATTATTAATAACATGTTGTAGAATATAGGTATCAATACCAAGGTTCGACTTGATAATTTCGAATAAATTGAGTATTGGGTAGATTTTTATAAATAAATAATGTATTTGTAGTATCCCAATGAGCAGAGAAATTAGATTTTCTGACGTTCCATGATTAAGTTTAAGCCACTTCTTCAGAGAATAGACTTCATGGTCCAGTTCCTAAACTTTTGAATTAAAATTCAACCATTATTCCCAGCGAAATATTTTCTAGGGCCTTTATCACTTATACCATCTATATTTCTGATTTGACTGGAGAAATTGAAATGAAAAGGGCCAACAGAATTACTTGTCGTAATAGACTGCTAATATTTATCAAGACAGCCATTAGAAAACACTGGACACAAAACGTTAGTCTACTGACTTTGAATATAGCAGCTATGGAAGTTATATTCATACGTATAGAATACTGATCTGATACGACAGACTTTATTGGACACTTGGTTGTCGAATTAAAAAAACTAAAGATATCGGACATTTTATCGCTACACTTTCTGTCAGAGTAAATATGATATAAATAAAATATGATATAAACTGTGTGTTTTCATTTTAAATCCTACACATTCTACCTCAATTTCAACAGCCTAAGTAGTGTATCCAGCTTTCATAACCAAGAGTCGAAGCTAAGAACTGAATACATGAATCAGAATATGTTTTAACACTGAACAACACCTTGGTTTTCTTACTGTCTATGTAAACTGAAATTATTTCAAAATAATAGAAAATATTTGTAATTAAGAGTGAAGATTTTGAAGGTATCTTATTTCTTCCCGAGGTGAAAACAATCAAAAATAATATGAAAACAATGGCCATACATCTATAGATAACAATCGACTAAATTCTTGGTCAACAGAACAAGCAGCTGATCAATTGTGGATAAATTCTAATAACTCCTTAATAAATTCTTTGCTGATGAAATCATAAAGGAACGTAATGAAAGCTTCATAGTTAAGCCACCCAACTCAGAGAGCAAAACGACCCCAAGATGAAATACTTTCAGTTATCTTTCTTAATCTGTTAGAAACTAACTTGATATTACAGATTCTGGATACCCGATTCGGTCATAAGATACCTGATGACAATAGTCTCACAGATGTACTGAAAAAATTATCCAGAAGAAAATAAGAATATACTTCGATGGTTGGCTATATTTCTCATTTAAAATAATCGATGTATTATCATTATTAATATTATCAACTATTTACATAAATCATACTGTTAGTTTATAAATATTACTTTCTGCTAGTTCTACAAATTCAAATGTATCTGCCGACTGGAGATTCAAAGTGACACATCACACTGTAATTTTTTTATTTCTTTTTGATCAGTTGTGAATTTGTGGCTGGTATATTGATAAAATTTTAACTCCAGTCTTATTTTCTTCTTTGCCTTAAGCAATATAAATTTTTGTTCTGTTAATCAGAAGCAAGTAACATAGTTGGGTTCTCAGTTATAACAAAGTAGCAGTACCAGTATATTGTCGTAACAATGTATATTTTATAAAATCAGTTATTCACGATTCCATTGAACCTGTGAAAGCATACAGAACTGTCGAGTATGGCGCTCTATTCATGTCAGTTTATTATTGTGATAAAATGTTTCGCTTGGAGATATTTCATTATCAGTCAAATGATTTCTTTGCAGTTGGACAAATAATTGAAATTTTCTGCCAAATCAAAGAAATCTATACGTTAAAAGTCATCAATGAGGAGATATCAGCACTTATCTGTCGCTAAACAGCATGAAACGGAATTTTTCAATCAAAGAAACGCGTAAGATAATCTAAAATTCCTTACATCTTACATGTAGGCTCATTTTAATATATGTGATACTTAACCTGTTGCTAACCTTTTCAGTGGTATTTTTGTGATTACTGTTAAACTTTTAGATAACACTGGATCTGAAGTCACACATACACTGCGCACAATCAATTTACGTCACTTATCACTGAGTAAGTCAAGCTACAGCATCCCATAAGACGTCATGGTGTAGTCAGAATCGCGTCAATTTATTTAAAAAATGATGGAGCTGATTTTCCATTACTGCTCCTAAAATCGTTTACACCTTACCCAGAATAAACATCTATGTTAATGGTCGTAAACCTACATACAAAAAATCAAGTTTAATATCTTGAGATATGATAGGCTTACATAAACATAGGCCTATAATTATTACTGAAGTTACGTCTATTGTATCTGATGAAATTTTCAATTATTTATTTAAAAGAGGCACCATTAATTCGTAACAGTTTCCTTAAAAGTAAATCTTGCATGACTTATCTTTTTGAATTCTCGAGCCTAGTCTTTACTGAATGTAGTTTAGAGTAACTAGTTTTAGTATTGTACTTTGGTATTTTAAAGCCTTCTAGTTTGTTTACTACCCGATTCTTACGGTCAATGATACCTAACAGGATCAGAGACTCTCGGTTTGCTGGACTTGTTTCTCCTCTCAGTTATCGGCACTAAATAGTTAAAATAAACCTCTTGTCGGTTGCTCTTTAAATCAAACATGTTGTAATATAAAGTAATGCCTTAAGTCCTTTTCCTTTTATAGTTTACATAAATAGTACCTTCAATTGATTCAGTATGAATAAACATTTTGTGTGTAGCCGATCGTAAAGTATTTCATACATTTTCTCCTCACAAGCTAAACGATGTGCAAAACTATCAAGTTTAGAGATTGCTTTATTTGGCTGGTCAATAACACGTTCTTTTCGCTATTCATATCTGAATGCTTGTCTCTCAGAAGCGAAATACAGTACTGTAAAACACAAGACGTCTGTTCAATGTCAACTTACACTTCGTATCCAAACTGATGAATGATTTCACCTCTGAGAGAAATAAAATACCCCCGAAATCGTCACTCTGAATTACAACTATTCCCCTACTGTTTAGATTGATATGATGAATGGATCAATGTTAGACCACCATTGAAAGCCTATAAGCACTGCATGGTCTTTTCGTTTCAGTATGGGACTCCTCATTATTGCGCACTCACGGGATCCGGACCCAGAACCTAAAGTCTCGCGCACGAACGCTTAACCTCTAGACTACTGAACTGGCATCCAATGGTG